ATATAAATCATAAGGATACAAGCAAGAAAGTTACAGTCCTGCAGTCACAAGTGGGAGGAGATGGGTGATAGTAATGATGAGAAGACTAATAGTAACAGTAATGCAGCTTTAGTGAATAGTTTGACAGTGTTGCGGGAATTAGTTGTTTAGCAGAGGGTTGGCATGGGGGGGGAAACTGTCCTTGTGCCTAGTTGTTCTGGTTTGCAGTGCTCTATAGCCTTGTTTTGAGGGTAGGAGTTGAAACAGTTTATGTCCAGGATGTGAGGGGTCTGTAGATATTTTCACAGCCCTCTTTTTGACCCATGCAGTGTGCAGTCCTCAATGGAAGGCAGGTTGGCAGCCATTGTTTTTTCTGCAGTTCTGATTATCCTCTGAAGTCTGTGTCTGTCTTGTTGTGTTGCAGAGCCAAAAAGATAGTTACAGAGGTGCAGATGACAGACAACAGTGATTCATTTAAAAACTTTGTCAAAAAAAGGTGGCAAAATGGAGCAAACCTCATTTAACATCTGCAATTTGGAACTCGTAAGTCGAGGACTACCTGTATGAACCACCTTCAGTCGTTCATCACTAGCAAATGAAGCAACTCCAGGTCACATTGCCTGGCAAAGAGAGTGAATTCCAACACATTTAGTCAGTGGACACTAAAATTATTATTTGCTCTGCTTTGCTCTGCTTTGCTCTGCTCTGCTTTGCTTTGCTTGGCATCCAAGATGCACACAATCCGCACCTAGTTTCCCTTTTGGCTTGTGATTTGTTCTTTTCCTTTTTATTGAGCAGATAAAAAGGGTGAAGGTTATGTTTTCAAGCAAAAGCTGAAATTTTAAACAAGCAAGTTGCTTCATCATCTCCAAAAAATTCTGCATCAAAGGACAAATGAATTGGTCCCTCCAAATTGTTAACGGATATGCATTAACCTGCTTCATAATAACATTTACAGGATGGTTTTAACTCTTTCCCTCTTTTACAATTTACTTGTATAAATTACTAGCCAATAACCCGGCATTGCCCGGTTATTTATTTAGAGGGGAAAAATGTCCAGACCAAATGTAATTTCTAATGTTGGATTATCCCCCTTACCAGAGGGAGCCCCCTTGTGGAGTACTATGAAGCCGTTACCATGCCAACTGCACTGTGCTGCACAGTAGAAGCCATTTTACGGCAGTACAGTAGAAGACATGTTAAAGCACAACAAACTGTATCTTAACAGAACACACACCCCCGAGGGGTTTTAGGGATGTCTTACCCCCACACACACACACATGATGAAACTGGCATGTGTTTCATCGTCCCCAAAAGTTTGCATCAAAAGACAAATTAATTGATCGCTCAAAATTGTTAACGGATATCCCTTAACCTGCTTCATAATAACATTTACAGGAGCCTTTAATTCTTTCCCTTTTTACAATTTACTTGAACGGTTTTCCATAAAAAATAAATAAATACCGACATGGGATAGAGAAAACAAGCTGAAAAAAAGACATGGTTATTGTCCCTTAGTGACAAAAGGTATCAGGATCCAATGGAATACAACTGAGATGGTAAAGCACTTGAAATAGTCTCTGGAAATTTTATTGCTCGAAGAAAATATCAAACGCTTCCTCGGAGCAGCAAACCAATCCTCCTGATACAATTGTACAACTTAAGCACAATTCAAAATTTGTATCTTTTAAGAAAAAAACAGCTTGAAAGCAAAGACCTCTAAAACTAACATCCAGAAAATATCATGCTACATCCAGTTTCTTTCTCCCAGTTTTGTAATGCAGTTGAATTACCAAAAAAAAGAGGATATAATACTACATATATTAACTGCAACAAGAATAGTATTCGCTCAAAATTGGAAACATAATAATATCCGTTCAGATGCAATGATCATAAGAAAGGTACTTGAGTTTGCAGAGATGGATAGGTTGACTATGGAACTAAAGGATAGAGAAGAATCGGAGTATTATAAAGTATGGAGTAGATGGTATAAATAGCTGGATGATAGACACAAGATATTGTACAAGAAGTATTATCTACAACAAATATGCTAACTCTATATATCTGTAAATATTATTATATTCTAAGCAACTATATAATATAGCGTACATTAGAGAATTAGAAATAGAGCTTATTTAAATATGAATGACATTAATGATGATACGAATGGCTGTAATGAGTGGAAATTTGTGTTTCGTTTTTTAACTTATTTATAAGTTCAATAAAAATTATTTTGAAACAAAAGGATGGAAAGAAGCAAAGCAGAAATCCAAGAAGAACACAATGCCAACTGCACAACACACCTTGCCAAATTTTGTGAATGAAGCAAGGAGATTGGACAATCACAATCAAACTACTGACATCACAAACAAACGGCAAAAATGCTACAAAACCGATAAGAGAAGTAAGACCTACCATCAAAAACTTAAAAAAACACTACATGATACCAGCAATAAAAACAGGCAGTAAGTATGCATGGCTACTACAAGGGAGAAGATAATAAAAATACTGAATAGGGTGGGAAAGAATATTCTAGAATGGCCCACAGCAGATGTCCGGCATTTAAGAGATAAAGAGATAGCTAGGTGTCTATTCATAGGCAAATGCCCTCACCCAAGATCCAACAAAGGTAGGATTAGCCCTCTACCCATCTCACCACATGGNGAAATGAGCTTTGGGATCACAGAAGATTCTGCTTTTTAATCAAATCCCTATTTCTGAAAAAAAAATGCTACCTTGAGCCAACCGTGTCAGAAGCTGCTGAAAAAGCCAGTGCAGTTCTAGACTGTATTAACGGAGGGATCAAATCAAGATCATGTGAAGTGTTAATAGTTCTTTATAATGCCCTGGTAAGGCCACACTTGGAATACTGCATCCAGTTTTAGTTGCCACCATGTGAAAAAAGATATGGAGACTCTGGAAAAAGTGCAGAGAAGAGCAACAAAGATGATTATGGGACCGGAGGCTAAAACGTTTAAAGAACGGTTGCTGGAATTGGGTATGTCTAGTCTGGTGAAGAGAAGGATGAGGGGTGATAGCTTAGTGCTCCAATATCTAAGGGGTTGTCATGAAGAAGAGGGGGTCAACCGCTTCTCCAAAGCACTTGAGGGCAGGAGAAGAAGCAATGGGTGGAAACTCATCAAGGAGAGAAGCAACTTAGAACTAAGGGAAATCAAGATCACGTGAAGTGTTAATACCACTTTATAATGCCTTGGCAAGGCCACACTTGACACCTGCCTATCACCAGAATTTCCCATCAACAACCATAAATTAACTGGGAAAGAGAAAGCTTGCAACCCCAAAATACTAGAGAATATTGAGATGTGGAGAGCCAATGCCCTTCTAAAGACTATTTATGTCTTTCTAAATTAGATACGGCTACGCTTAATGCTTGTCTTTTCCCACCAGAAAATGATGGACGAATGCCAGGACCACCGATGGTGCCATTTCCTTGTCCACAGCCATGTGTTTGGGCCCGATCCATGCCCAGGAACACACAAATACTTGGTGGTTTCGTACAAATGCAGACCTGGTGAGTGATTTTGGCAAGGCAGGAGTGTGGAAAAGGAGAAGATATGTAGTTCTACTTTATGGTCTTCTGGAGAGTTGCAGTAGGTCATCCAAAGCTGCTCTAACATCATTGGTAGATATCAAAAGCTTCCTTCTATCTGGAGGGCTTTGGGAAAAGGGCAGAAGTGGGCTGCTGGGGGTTCACACGGGTTCGGATGATTCTCTAGCGAAGATTCCTCATGGTTCAGCAAACCCCCAAATACTACTCCTGGCTGGCCCAGCCCTGTGAGTTCTAGGTCTCCTTTAGGCATAAAAGCCAGCTGGGTTACCTTGGGCCAGTCACTCTTTCTCAACACTAGCTGAGATAATGCCCAGCCGCTTCTGAAAAATCTTGCCAAGGAAACAGGGACTTGTCCAAGCAGTCTCCAAGAATCAGACATGAATGAATGAATGTGAATGAATGAGAAAAAAAGAAAGAAAGAAAGGGAAAAAAAGAAAAGAAAAGAAAGAAAAAGAAAGAAAGAAAGGGAAAAAAAGAAAAGAAAAGAAAGAAAAAGAAAGAAAGAAAGGGAAAAAAAGAAAAGAAAAGAAAGAAAAAGAAAGAAAGAAAGAAAAAAGTAAGTAAGAAAGAAAGAAAGAGAAAGGAAAGAAAGAAAAAAGAGAGGAGAAAGAAAGAAAGAAAAGAAAGAAAAGAAAAAGAAAGGAAAGAAAGAAAGAAAAAAGTAAGTAAGAAAGAAAGAAAGAAAAGAAAAGAAAGGAAAGAAAAAGAAAGGAAAGAAAGAAAACAGTAAGTAAGTAAGTAAGTAAGAAAGAATGAAACAAAGAAAAGTAAGTTTATATGATCGCCTGTTGAATTTCAGTTGAAAATATGACATCTAAAATTAGGAGATGTGATTTTTGAAGCTTTATCCGGAAACACCTATAATTGAAAACAAAAACCAGTTGATTAAAATATTTGAGGCTAAATCATATTTCATTGTAGTTTGACTAACTGTTGTCATTGAATTTTTGCATAAAACGTAGTTGTCCAGGTCTACGCAATACATTATCCAGCACTTACAGCCATTAACGGTTGATATCAGCTCAAAAGGATTCATTTTCAGATTTAGCCTGTTGTACTGATAGTCCCTTCCTTATCTCAAATATGGCCTTAATAAAAGCAAGAGATTTTTTTAAAAAAAATATTATGGAGCCAGGAGGAGGTAGAGACTGATGAGGAATGTCTTATGTCTCATCTTCAGCCAATCATCGTCTCAAGACTGTATGTGAAAATGACAAGATGAGGCTACAATGTCGGAGCAGCTCAGTTCTAGCAATTTATTCTTCGATTTATGGGCGACCTTTGCGGGGAAAGTTGGAGTGTAATTCTATGAACGGGACGGAGCCTGAAATAGGTATACGAGAACTCAGCCTCTGCTAAGACAATCCTAAGCATTGCTGCACTTGGTGAGTCTGTGGGGCCTTCCACATCAGGATCTAGTACCAGCTTGAAGGTTGCTCTGGATCTCTGTATTTCTATCTTGGGAACTGTTTGGAGAACTTTCCCCCATTGCACAAAATCCTCTGACAACATCCCAGGTCCTGAAAGGGGAAGGGTAGCTGGTTGGCTTTGTAGCTTCCTTTAAACAGCCCAATCCAAGCAAACAAAGCTGAAATTGACCAGTGTTCTATCATTGATGGGTGGTGTGTAAAATGCCACGCTACTGTTTCCCCCCCTTCTTTTCATTCCCCCTCCTTTGAGTTGAAGTGGAAACGAGGGGGCCTTTGCTGTTGTCGAACCGGCTGTGATGGATTTCAGCCTTTTGAAATGTTGAGAAGGTCTTCTGAGGCTTGAAGAGGGAAAGTGGTGGTGTACAGGTGTTAGAAAGGAAAGAGAGCCCTTTAAGTATGACCTCTTTCAAACATGCACTCTGGTTCATTTGCCCTATTGGATATTTATTTTATCCTTGTCCAAGAGCCTGAAGATCTGGCTCTACAGGTTGGACAGAGGACCAAATGGGGCAGTTGGAATTCATTGTTGGAATGTATTTTGTGCAACAACTACAGTAGTATTCAGCCAGTAGATAGCAGTGTGTACAAGTTTGGATCTCTATGGTATATATATTCCATGTTCTTTTGTTCTAAGTGACAGAAAAGCAGTTAAGCAGTAAAGCACATGGTGACTGTACACTGATCTGTGATGCTACATATAAACAGAATTTCTAACATGGATTGATGGCAGATTCCATCTAAATATTCTCCCCTTGCTTTCTGCTCTCCACCCACCCATCTTCTTAATTATCATATTGATGTATTTATTCTAATTGTACTCCTTTGTCATAGTTTTTTTTAATCATTCTATTATTGTACTTCTGCTTATACTCCTTTCATTTTTCTTCCTTTTTATTATTGTGAGCCACCTAAAGTAGCCCCACAGTAAAATAAGGCAGCAAGGCAGCAAATGAATGTAATAAACAAATAGATCACCAACGAATGGATGCAGCTAGTTCTGAACAGAGGCTTCATTACTGGACACAAAGAGTCAACAATTGGTCTAGCTGGGCAACTACCAAGAGGCACACGCTAGCAAGGGCTGATGCCAACCTCTCATGTCTTTGCCTTTCAACTCCTTTTGTTGCCTGTTTGTTGCCGGCTCAGCTCTGGCCCCTTCTCCGGTTATAGTACCGACTCTCCATCCAGCAAGAAACTAACATTGGCAGGAAATTTGCTCTCCACTTAGCCATCTCTGTTCTCCCTTTTACGGCTTATTTCAGTTGAAAGGTGGACAAAAGAGATGTTGAGGTCAAAGAGAATACACTTCGCGATGACACCGCTGTGTTGCGAGACTAACATTGAGGGAGCTTGGGCACTGTCCAGGAACGCTTTTCCACATCAGGGTTTTTATTCAAACAATTCTGCAGGGTTCCCAGAGAGACGAAGGAGAAAAAGGAGAAGAATGCATGCAGGACACCCGTTGTTAAAAAGGGTGAATTTTTTTTCTCCTGCAAAAAAATAAATAAATCAGAAACCCACACCTGACATTTTGTAGTTCTGTTTAAAAAGAAAAAGCTAACTTCATAGTCTGAAAAAGCTGGGACACCAAGTGTGGCCCACCTGAGTGTCTCCAAAATATTTTAAACTCCAGGATCTTCTCAGCATCACCTAAGCAAAACACCTGGAACATCGCTTGATCAGCAGCTTTCTTTGCTTTCAGAATCTGAACAAGATGGAACAGATTCACCCATGCCTTGCTTGCATTTTATGAATGACCCAGCATTGCCTGGGTATTTATTTATAGGGGGGAAATGTCCGGCCCAAACGTAATTTCTAATGTTGGATTTTTCCCTTTACCAGAGGGAGCCCCCTTGTGGAGTACTGTGAAGCTGTTACCATGGCAACTGCACTGTGCTGCACAGTAGAAGCCATTCTACGGCAGTACAGTAGAAGCCATTTTAAGGCACAACAGGCTGTATCTTAACAGAACACACACCCCGAGGGGTGTTTGGGGGGGTCTTACCCCCCCCCCAGTGTTTTTCTCCAGAGTGTAATTCATCTGTGTACCAAGTTTGGTTGAAATTGCTCAAGGCGTTCCAGAGTTATGCTGGAACACACATACACACATACACAGCCATTTATAGAGAGAGAGATGAATGAAAGCCACACCAACCAAGCGGGTCTCTATCTAATTATACATATCTGAGAGAAGAATATGGTGCCTCAACGCTAACAAAACTTGCAACCACCCATTTGAGACTGGACTGTGTAGTCTTGGAGGCCTCTTTGGAAAGTCCACAGCAGAGACAACCTCCGGAATCTGCCATTTTGCCACCCCTACTTGGGCTGACTGCATTGTGTCTCTGTGTGTGATTTGTAGAATGCACAGCTCCCGATGCCTTGAGAAGAGTGTCCCACAGGTGCCACAAGAAGAGGAATTGCACCCTGGTTGCTAACTCGGCTACATTTGGAGACCCATGCTTCCCGGGGGTGAAGAAACAATTGAGAGTGTCCTACACTTGCGGTAAGCAGGACAGCAACGTAACCCGCTGATATTTGAGGTGGGATGGACAAGCAACTGACCAGCTAAGTCCGTGATGGCGAACCTATGGCACGTGTGCCACAGGTGGCACATGGAGCCATTTCTGACGGCACACGAGGCCATGCGCATGTTCGCCAGCTAATTTTCGGTCTTGATTTTCAGCCATTTTTCACCTTCCAGAGGGAGAAACATGCACGTCCGTACCCCCAGCCCCCCGTGCCCCATTTTGGGCCAGGCTGGAAGGCCTCCTGCGCCAACCTAGAAGCCCAAATGGGGCACGAGGGCGCTGTGCGTGGCCCCCGCCTGCACCCCATTTTGGACCTGGGGAGCCTCCTGCACCAACCTAGAAGCCCAAATGGGGCACGAGGGCGCTGTGCGTGGCCCCCGCCTGCACCCCATTTTGGACCTGGGGAGCCTCCTGCACCAACCTAGAAGCCCAAATGGGGCACGAGGGCGCTGTGCGTGGCCCCCGCCTGCACCCGATTTTGGACCTGGGGAGCCCCCTGCACCAACCAGGAAGACAAAAATGGGCAAGGGGGCGGAGGATGTGCGCACATGCGTGGGGTGCTTGCATTGCATTTCGGGGTATGGCATGCCCATGCACGCACTTTGGGCACCCAAAAGTTTAACCATCCCTGGTCCTAGCAATTTCCCCAAAATAGATGAACCCTCATCATCCCCAAGTATTCAGTGACCCCCCCCCCAGCCATTTCTTAGTGCTAGTATAACCGATGGCCTCATGTTAGCAATTCTATTTTTCACGTATGTTAAGATTATGATAACTATTTATACAAGCTTTGGTTTGATTTTTTTCCCATCCCCTGCACTCCTGTGTGTCTTTCAGTGCCAAGGCAGTTGTTAGAAGAGGCGACCCGCGAATCCCGAGAAGATCCCTTCTCAATTTCTGATTACACCCACGGTAATCATTCCGCCTTGATTTTAATCCGCCGTACGGCTCTGGATGGAGAAGGGCCTGGGAAATGCCTCCATCACCACCACCACAACCTTCTCCTAGATCTATGGAGAATCTCAACCATCCAGGTCATGATTATCCCGTGGGGCTTTTCCAAAAGGCCACTGGACTTTCTTGGGTTTTCGTTCTTTGATCATGTTTCACCTCATCCAAGACCTGAAGAAGCTACTTGGATGAGAGGTGAAACGTTTTCAAAGGGGAAAAAAAAACTAGTGGTGAAATCTAAAGAAAAATTCCTACAGGTTCTGTGGGCGTGGCTTGGTGGGGGTCATGTGACGGGTGGGCGTGGCTATGTAGTCATGTAACTGGGGGATCAAAAAACAGAAACTCACTTTAACGATGTCCTGCTGGAGCAGGGTTGGACTAGATGACCTCCATGTCCCTTCCAGCCCTGGATTGTCGTTTGAAGTTGCTTTTAGTGCCAGGTTTGTAGTCCTTCCTTCCTCTCCCTTTTCCCTCCCTCCCTTTCTTTCTTTCCCTTTCTTTCTCCCCTCTTTCTTTCTCCTTCCTTCCTTCCTTCCTTCCCTCCCTCCCTCCCTCCCTCCCTCCCTCCT